CTTCGTCCGAAGTTTCGAACGGTCGTCGTTGGACGTCGATAACAATAAACTGACCGCTATACATCTGTTTTCACAATGCAACGTTCTTCTCGTGGGCATCAGCTGAAGACGGTTTGATCACTGGAACTGACTTTTTCCCAGTGGTCCGGGTCTACCACCAGTCGAACAGGCCACACCGATGGAAATCCAAGATTAAACAATACCAAATATTCAACACGCTCGAGCTGTCTGGCTCCTATTCTACTCTCTTTGGCCCTTGGACTACTCCTTGGCGTCCTGCCACATCGTTTCTTAAAAGAGCCTGTTTTTTGGATCCATTATCGTAACCGCTTCCTTTTGAGTATTTCGTTCGTGCGTTATCGGTCATACTGAAAACATCGTTAAGCTCGGTTTATGAGGATTGACCAGTACTGTTGTTTCGAACCTGTGTCCCGCGTGCCCCTTCACCGTAATCGGTTAGATGAGTTTCGGGAGTCTTTTCTGTTGTCTGCAGCGATTGCTTCGCTTGGAGCCAAAAGCCTTCTGATAGAAATCCATATGCCTTTATCACAACAGCCAGTTCTAGATTATACAGCAACGTATTGATTGATTGTTGATTTCGATTGTAACTGATATTACCCCCTTTCTAGCCCAGATTTTCAAGATGCAGTTCCCCTGTTGTCTTTCAGCGTTGCTAATGTTTTGCGAGAGACCGGTTGATTGTCTTAGTCCATGAAGGCGAAGCTGTGGATGGTCTAAGAATCTCGCGTCCGAAACCGAAACTGCGGGTGTGAATACCAACTTCGAGTTTTCAGCTTAAAATGTGAATAAGCTCGTCGCTTGGCGCTGTCATTGGTATAGGTGTTTGTTGTTACGGAACACTGCAAACATAGGGTCTGTGTTTTGCATCCATGCGTTAGCACTGGAATACACTTTGCTTGAAGTCGTTTTGTTTCAGGCACAAGTGCATTTTCATAGATAGGAATATTTTCAAACGTCCAAAGGTGCATCATGACCGTTTTTGTGATTCTGTTGATTTCTTACAGTAGGTTCTCTATTGCCTGTGTGCCAGCTGCTGGCTATCGAGCGCATCCCCGGGTTTCGGATGGAAGAACGATCTCCAGATATGGAGGTTAGCAGCGACAAATAAGCAGCCAGCTGTGAGACCACCACGGCGTCGTTCAATCGTGACAAGCAGCAACAGTGGCAGTGACAGTCCCGTGTCGAGGCGAAAGCGACAAATCTTTTATAAGAGAAAAGGCCGCTGATGTTGGCAGCATTGCGGTTAGTCGTGAGTTCGTCAAAGGTAGAAGAGACAATTTCGATAAAAACCGGGCTGTACGAAATTCCCCAGACCACCGTCAGCCTTCTCATCGGATGAAAAACTGCATACGTTATGGCAGCATAAATGGCTGATCGTAAGTACCCCGCGTTTATCTTGATCCATTCGATTCAAACGGCGGCGGTTCGGCGCTTGACTGACGATGGGCCCCTTAAAGCTTCAGGTTAAAAGCCTCCTTCTGGTATGTGGAACCGGGCTTACCTCGCCGTTTGCACTTACAACTGTAGAACACTAGCGAAAGAAGAAACGTTAGAGCAACTAATACGGAAAAGGTCATAGACAGAAAGGTGATCGTTGGTCATTAAGCGGAAGAACCCCTTAATGTCATGTCAGCAGCTCCAATAAACCCTGTTCTACTGTGCTCTCTCTTTCTCTCTTATCTCCGTCGTTCAGAAGATGTGTAATATGCACTAGTGTCGAGCTAATATGGACACTTTGTTTCCATAATGGCCCTAGTGTACACCACAGCATACCGATGATAATGCGTAGTCATAGATTCGATTCAGAGTTAAAATGAATTTTGATTGTACCTTCTACAACTTACAACTATTTAGTAGGAGATGGTTCGAAAATTATCCGACGAGTCGGAAATTACGCGAGAGCATGACCTGTTTACTGGTGTCAGGCTGTCTAGTGGTCAGTTGCGCATTGATCGATTGTTCATGTTTACCTCTACCTGGTAGTATTTCGCGTTCCTTCAACAAACATGTTCTTTGCTCTTCGCGTCTGTTTGAAGTCATCATCGCGCTGAGAAAGGACTAGACGAAGTTTCGTTTTGTTCACCCTCTAAACGGTCTTTTTGACTTTCATTCAGTTAATCGTTTTGTGTGTGTTTCTAATTGAGAAATCCCTGAGAAGATCAACCGACTAGTTTATTTTTCATGAAATCTGATCTTGGAGGGGTTATTTGCATGTTTCACTGTTAATTGAATTGCGGAGGTTCAGCTGAAGTATTACAAAGAGCATCAGAAAAACGTTGCAGCCTCAAATTTGTTGGCCTTCGTCAAATGTCTATGACGGGTGCTGTTTTTTGCACCCTTCTTTCAGTAAGTGTATGGTAAGGCGCTGATCACCCATCGATGCCATATGTCAGAAGTTTCTTATTTCTTTGCAGTTGATCTCTACAGCTGTGACAAACGCATTGTCTAGTCTTTTGCTTTTAAGCGATAAATTCGCTTCCGGGAATACTTTGGATAGTAATTTTATTCGTTTTATTTAAAAAACACTTCCACGCGTCGAACCTTGCATATTCGTAGTCAGAACATAAAGCGGCAAAGTTCATACGTTCTACAGTGTAAAAATGATTCTCATGTATTAGATTTGTAGCCCAATGTTAGCCTTAACTGTACTTAATCCTTTCCGTGTCTAAGGTTTCGTTTATACATTCGTCAGATTGAATTACGAAGGTTCCGATGGTTAAAGAGCTTTTTTGCTACGAGTTTAAATGAGTTTGTCACGTTGACGGCTATATTTTCCGTGACATACTCTCTCAGAGAGATCAGACATGATCGAAAGCGTTTAAGAAAAGTTGTGATATGAGTCCGTGAGGCTCTGCCTTTCTGAAACTAGACACCGAGGAGGTCGAACGGCTACTTTGATCGATCATGATTACTGCCCTTGCTTTTGTGGTTATTCTGAACTACTCCAAGGGTATCCAGTGCCTGATCATTATTAATGTGAAATATTTCTGGAAGCTGAACTGTATTGATTTTCAAATTGTCTGTGTATTTTCAGATGGTAGATATGCTTCTGTACTCGCTGACAGCAACGCGATGGGTTGTCTAGGTTAATAAGTTTTATTTGATTGATGAATCGTTTCATTTGCATCACTGCTGTGTATCATTGAATATAAAAGTTTTAAATGACGCAAAGATGCCTGATCTGA